GAATGATTTAGTATAAAAATCTAGAGTGGTGGGTGGGGTGATCAGTTTGCTTAACCGAGCAAATCCAGTCCTAAATGACTTTTGGCTTGTTGCTCAATGAGCCAAGAAATAGAAAAAAATAAGAAAACATTGCAATGAGGAAGGAAAATATTAACTTTTAATACCATAGTTGGTTTTCAATATTTAAAAGTTTAAGCTTCTACAGTGGTCGAAAGAGATAGGAAAGATTGGATAATGTAAATCAAGTATGTTCTTTGTGAATTTCTCTGGCTTTCTGGTTTACTGTAACTAAGAATGTGCCTGTGTCTTCAGATAATAGATAACAGAATAACAGAGGTGGAAGGGAACTTGGAGGTCTTCTATTCCAATTCCCTGCTCAGGTAGGAAGCCCTATACCATGTTAGACAAATGGTTTTCTAGTCTCTTAAAAACTTCCAGTGTTGCAGCATTCACAACTTCTGGAGGCAAGTTGTTCCACTGATTAATTGTTTCAACTGTCAGGAGATTTCTACTTAGTTTTAGGTTGCTTCTCTGCTTGATTAGTTTCCATCCATTGCTTCTTATCCTAACTTCAGGTGCTTTGGAGAATAGCTTTCCTCCCTCTCCTTTGTGGCAACACTTAGTTATTGGAATACTGCTATCATGTCACCCCTAATCCTTCTTTTCATTAAACTCTATATACCCAATTCTAGCAATCGTTCTTTATGCGTGTTTTAGCCTCCAGTTCCTAATCCTCTTTGTTGCTCTTTTATGCAGTCTTTCATGGTATAAAAATTCATGGATTTATACCATGAATGTTAGAAATATTTCAAGTAGCACTAGTTAAACTTAATATTAACTATACATTCTAGTGAAAGCCATTTTGTTGTAGCAGTTAAGGCATCAGGCTAGAAATTAGGAAACTAGGAATTCTAGTTTCTACCTTGGGCATGAAGCTAGCTAGGTGACCTTGGTCTAATCACTTTCTCTCAGCCTTGGGAAAGAGGTAATGGCAAACCACTTCTGATAAATCTTGCCAAGAAAACTGCAGGGATTTCTCCTAGCAGTATTCAATAATTGAAAATAATTGAACTGAAAACAAAAAACATTCTAGTAAAGAACAATGGCAGTAAAATTCAATAAGAACAATGAATCCAGTTGGTCTTGTATCTAGACAGAAATTTTTATAAGGCCCAACTTCAAAGTTACCAAGTTACTTCGCAACATGGTTTTCAACCCAGTATTTACTCTTAACTGCCTCCCAGGCAAGGGTAATTTTTAAACACAGGATCCCAGATATCAGTGCCCAAACAGATATAGAGTTATTGACAAAAGTAGACCTTTAAATCTTAAGAAAAAAATATTTTTCAGTTTGAAAAATATCTGTCAACAAGCTTGACACAATTCTCAAGAAAAGCCTATTCCAGAGCAAGATTTGAGTTTGCTGGATACCACAGTCAAATATGGTGTTTCCATCACCTGCTATATCATAAGGTGACAAATATACAGTATGTGGTGCCCCGGCCATCAAATAAACTATTTTTTAAAAAACAACTATGTTTTTTTTCTGTGTTTTTTAACTTTTATTTTAATTGTATTGTTGTAAACCGCCCGGAGTCCTCCGGGATTGGGCGGCCTATAAATTTATTAAACATTCAAACATTCAAACATTCAAATCCTTATGTTTGTTTGACAAGTATACGCCCCTCTCAGATATTTAACATTCCTATTTGAAGCAACAGGCTCCTGGGATATGAATCACAGTCTATTCTATTTCCTACTATGTCCTAATGTACACATTGTGAGCAGAACTGGTACTTTTATAGCTAAGGCAGTTGAGCTAAGAACTCATGATATCAAACAGACCAATGTATCATGTGAAGGTGATGTATTTATTAAATGTTGATTCTTTCTATTTATCACGTTTATTACTATATTTTCTTTTATCCATTTTATCCTTGAATTAATTCCTGTATTTTATGTTTTACTTTTTTGATATGGTCATAAGACATATAACAGAATAACAGAGTTGGAAGGGGCCTTGGAGGTCATTTATTCCAACCCGCTGCTTGAGCAGGAACTTGTATACCATTTCAGACAAATGGCAGTCTCTTCTTAAAAGATTCTAGTGATGGAGCAGCCACAACTTCTGAATGCAAACCATTCCACTGGTTGATTGTTCTCCTTAGTTCTAAGTTGCTTCTCTCCTTGATTAGTCGGCCATTGGTTCTTATCTTGCCTTCTGGTACTTTGGAAAATAGTTTGCCCCCCCCCCATCTTTGTGGCAGCCCCTCAAATATTTGAGTACTTCTATCATGTAACCCTTACTCCTTCTTTTCACTAAACTAGATTTACCCAATTCCTTCAATCTTTCTTCGTATGTTTTAGCCTCCAGTCCCCTAATAATCTTTGTTGCTCTTCTCTGTACTCTTTCTGGAGTCTCAACATCTTTTTTAGATCATGTTGACCAAAACTGGATGCAATCAGACTAATCAATTAGTAATCTAAATTCAACTATAAAGCCTAACTGTTTAAACAAATGATGTAGCCTCACCAGAGGACCTTGGAGGGCAGAGTGCACAGTCCCGACTCCAAGCCTCTCCGTAATTGCAACAGCACTCCGAATACGTCGTTTGTCGTCCCAGCAATGGTTCACTACAAACATAGTTTGTTGAGACCTTCTGCCAACAAATTTCTAATTCACTGTCAGGTTCATTCGGATTATCTGTTATTGAAAAAAATAAAAGATTAAAGAAAAGGAATAAACCAGTCTCTATGTTGTATTAAGGCCGTAATACTGTAGCACTTTATATAATCATAAAAGAGCTTTTCTCTTTCCTTTCTGCAGAATTTTGATCTTTTATTGCAACATTGACTAGAAAAAGAAGCTTGGGATTTAACTGTTCTGAGGGTCAATATACAGAATCATAATGTAGCAAGGCCTTTTAGGTCTTGAAGATCAGGATAGGAATATAAATTAAAATATCATTGGAAGACAATTGTCAAGACAATTCAAGCATATTTTACAAAGTAATGAAACACTTTGACTTTTAGGATCCTTTTTGCAACATAAGACCCCAGGAATAGAATTGCTGAATCAATCCAAGACCCATCTTAGCATGCAGATAGAAAAGGGAGATATATCCCTCTCCCACCTGGCCCTCCTGCAGCTGATATTTAGAAGCATATTGCTTCTAATTCAGATATAAAAGTAAAGATAAAGGTTCCCCTCGCACATATGTGCTAGTTGTTCCCGACTCTAGGGGGCGGTGCTCATCTCCCTTTCAAAGCCGAAGAGCCAGTGCTGTCCGAAGATGTCTCCATAGTCATGTGGCTGGCATGACTAAATGCTGAAGGTGCACGGGAACGCTGTTACCTTCCCACCAAAGGTGGTTCCTATTTTTCTACTTGCATTTTTACATATTTTAGAACTGCTAGGTTGGCAGAAGCTAGGACAAGTAATGGGAGCTAATTCTGTCATGCAGCGCTAGGGATTCAAACTGCTGAACTACTGACCTTTCTGATCAACAAGCTCAGCGTCTTAGCCACTAAGCCACTGCTTCCCTCAATTCAGATATAGCAGAGAGTTTTCAAGGTTAAGTTCATTTTTACACTGCTGACTTACAGGGTCTCCACAATAATACCCAGTCTGTCTATATTATTTTGGCACTATGATATTTGAATGACTATAGAAGGCAATATAACCGTGCAGAAATTGCTTAATATCTGTTGTTAGACCTGTTTTACAATGCATGTATTTAATCCTTTAAAAAAACCATTAAAGTCACTGATTAATTATATACTTGTTCTTTTTCTCAACCTTCTTCCAACCTGCTTCATTGGATAATGCCTGGTACTGGTGTTTTGAAGGGGGAAAAAAGTCTCCATGCACTCTTTCTCAATGCCATGTATGTTTTTAGATATTTGAGTCAGGTGCCATTTCCATTATTTTCAAGATTAAAAAAATCCTAAACATTACCACATTCTCTTGTCTAAGCCCCTGAGCATGCTGGTTGTTTCCTTCTGTCTTTTCCAACATTATTTTACCTTTCCCCCTTTATCACAACAATCCTGTGAAGTAGATCAGGTTGACAGATGCCCAAGGTCAATCAGTGAGAGTCATAGTTTTAAACTAAGTTTCCTACTTTGGTGCTTTATTTTTTTGGAATATTTTTTAATTAAAAAGAAAAGATAAAAGAGATTTACAGGCAGAGTAATATTAAATGAAAATTATGAAGCAATATTAACGTACCACATATTAAAATACCATGTATCAATTTAAGGCTTCATAACATAATTAAACATAATTAAAAGCAAACTGATATTCACTAATATGAATCCTAAATCAGAATTCTGTCCTCATTTAAGAAATCAAATAGAATGCCAGATATTTAAGCCTTATGTCCAACTTTCAAATGTTGTACAGTATAAGTTCATATGTAGAACTGTCATCCATAGAATTAAATTCTGTATCAGATTTATGAAGGTATTTCTAGAGATTGATCTTCCAATCTTCTAGAGATTGATCACATCTTAATTTACTATTTTTTACATAGGAAACTGTGTGCTTTCCGTTCATTTAATGACAATTCAAAGTTACGTGACATTGAAAAAAGTGACTTAAGACCAGTTTTCACACGTATGACCATAGTAGCATCCTCATGGTCATGTGATCAAAATTCAGACAATTGACAGTTGACTCATATTTATGTCCCACAGTCATGTGATCCCCTTTAGTGACCTTCTGACAAGCAAAGTCAATGTGGAAGCCAGATTCAGTTAACAACAGTTTGACTAATTCAACAACTATGGTGATTCACTTAATGACTCTGGCAAGAAAGGTCATAAAATGGGGGCAAATTCACTTAACAAATGTTTCACTTAGCAACAGAAATTTGGGGCTCAGTTGTGGTCGTACGTCAACTGCCACGCTTATATTTTATAATGTGTTCTGACCTTATCTCTTTTTGCTTTTGCCATCTTAAACTCAAGAACAAAACTTACATTCACAGGATTCTATCAGAACCCTTCTATGTTTATAGAGAACAGTTTATATACTATCCAGAGGAATCTCACCTGCACTGTTGGAAACATTGACACAGCGATTGTGGATTACATCCAGAACCAGAGGAAGGCTACAGAAGCAGTGATAAGAGCCAGCTGTGTTCAGACATTTGCCATTTGCACAGATCTCTTCATTTTCACACTCATCAAGATCTACGATCACAGCAGAGAATTCACTCAAGGAGATGTTTTAAAAAGAGTTCTTTCACTCTCACACATAGAACACCTTTACATATAGAACACTCAAAGGCTGTTTCCCCATTAATAGTTGATATTTTGGATGGCCTCTTGCTCACTCTGGGCCATGTTTTTCAGTAAATGTATCATTCCCTACAAATGTCACAGAATGCCTTTTTACAAAAGATGCCAAGCAGGTCAAACAAGCAGGGAGAGGATTCTCACCAACACATGCAAACTGACTGGAGTGATAGAAATATCCAACGTGGCAGAAGCAGGTGTATCCAGGAACTGTGTTCACACAATGTCCATTACGACAGACTTCAAAGCCAAACATTTCACATTCATTGGCATCTATGGGGGAGGAAAATGAACCTCAATAAGAGGGAAGAAAGGAGGAGGCAGGGAGGGAGGGAGGGAGGAAAGAAGGGATTTCTAGAACACTCTTCATGCTAAAATCTCTGGTGGAAAACTTTTCTATTTGCAGCAAAGCCCTGGCTATTGAAGTCAATTATGGATATAAAAAGAAATGCAAACATACAGAAAAGCCCACTGATTTACATCAAAATGAACATTGTGAAGTGAGCTGGATTTACTGCTGGATCACTGGCAGTTCTCTGAAGTTTTTACAAGGGTAGAAAAGTCATAATTCAACACGAGAATTGTTTGTTGTGTTATAATAATTGCTTATATAGTGCATAATGACAGACAGACCTCAGAGTCAAACATTTCACATTTGGTGGCATCTATGGGGGGAAATCTGATTATGGATATTAACACTTGAATAAATAATTTTTTTCTTCTAAAATATAAGCCATCCCTCCGATTCGGTTTGAGCTTGAAACAGCTGTTGGATTTGTTAGAATTAGAAGTACCTGTATAAGATGTCTGTCCAAAAATCAGTGTTCCTTCTACAGGAATATAGCCCTTCCCACTGGGGCAAATATCAATATATTCCACTGTCAAAAAAATTAACAAAGAAGAATTATAATTAAATGAAATGCTGAAGAAGGGAAAAATATAAGAAGCATATTATATAACTGAGATACTACTGATCATGATACCCCTAAGATCAATGGTGCTGTGTAGCATAACCTTGACTTTCCTGGTAAATAGGGGCCAAGGGAACACTTGTGAGGTGCCGACAGGAATATTGTAGGCATCAATCAAATACAATCACTCAGATTCATTCAGAATCTGAATCTGACTGCATAGGTCTTATGGCACTGCCTGAGGCATTACTTATGAAGAGTCTGAATCTATTAGCCCTATGAACTGTCCAATATCCTTGGAGCTGTGTGGGTGACCTCCTGTACCTTAGATCCCTGTCCATCTTGGTTGATTAAAGTCTCCCAGGAGATAATATAAAGAACATAAACAGATCCCTGCTGGATCAGACCCCTGGCCCATCGAGTCCATCAGTTTGTTTTCATATAGCCAAGCAACTGGACAAAAAGGCCATTAATCCCTAGCAGATGGACTTCAGAGCAGTTGTATCATGTTCAATAACCATTGATCCTCATGACTTCCATGAACTTGATCCAACCTTTTTTCTTTTTTGAAGCCAGCCAAGCTGGTAACCAGCACTACATCTTGTGGTCGTCAATTCCAAAGTTGAATTACCCATTTTAAAAAAAATTTTTAGGTTGTCTTGATACTTCCAGGATTCAATTTCACTGAATGACCTCTGTTTATAATATTTCAGAAAGGGGAACTCCTTGTTCATTTTATCCACACCATACATCATTTTTTATACTTCAATCATGCTCCCTATTATACAACTCCTTTCTAGATTAAAAAGCCCCAAATGTTGCAATGTTTCCTGATAGGGGAGCTGTTCCAGACCTTTGATTACCTTAGTTGTCCTCCTCTGATCCTTCTCTAGTTCTATGATATCCTTTTTTAGGTGTAACTGCACACAAGATTCTAGAAGTGGCAATACCATTGGATCTATATAAGGACATTAAGATTTTGGCATCTCTGTACTATTTCTTATGTAGTTGGGTCCATGCAACATCCATGTTTTTTAAAGAGATTATTATCTCTCATATCCTTAAGAGGCTATGACTTGAGTCAATAGATCTGGACAATTTTTACTTAGTTTCCAATCTTTCCATCTTGGATAAGTTTGTAAAGAAAATGGTCAGTGTACAGCTCTAGAGGACCCTGGAATAAGCAGATTATGTACTCTAGTCACTCAATATTCAGGCCTCAATATTGGGCAGCTTTATAGCTATACACCCGCATATACAACCATATAGATACTGTCTATACATACATATACCAAAACACATGAGAGCTGGTTTGGTGCAGTAGTTAAGGCATCAAACTAGAAATTAGAAATTGCAAAGTATAATCCTGGACACAAAGCTAGCTGGGTGTTGTTTTCTCAGCCTTAGGAATGAAGAAATGGCAAATCACTTCTGAAAAACCTCACCAAGAAAACAGCCGGGAGTTGTCCAGGCAGTCTTTGAGAATCAGACACGAATGAACAACAACAAAAAAACATACACATACATATACCTTCAGAGCAAAGAAGCATTTAGGAAGTTCCTTTTCTGTTGTTTCTATGTTTATTACATAAACAATAATGCAATATACCTGAGCCAATGACTGGGCACAGATATGTTTCACAATTATCTCCCCAGGCTGCTCCTTCTGTGCAACAGCATTCCTCTTTTGTGGTGTTATTGGCTAAGACACTGTCACACAATGGGACATCACTGATGTGATAATAGCACTCCTTCCGCTCTGCATTATCTGGATGTAAAGATACAGGCCTTCCAGGTTCCCCTGAGATGAGATTAAAACATATAATATATGTGACAGAGTCACATTGATAATATTCTGTTCGAGAAACAGGCGCACACATCTGGAAATTATTTGATGAAAGCAATCTATCAGAGCAAATCATCCTCTAGATCCGTGATGGTGAACCTATGGCACACATGCCAGAGATGGCATGTAGAGCCCTCTTAGTGGGCATGCATGCCATTGCCAGTTGTTCTTCTGGTTTCCGGCGTGCCACAGTTGGTCTTTGCACATGCTGTAGCGCGGAAACCCAAAGATCAGCTGGCCGGCATGCACATGCATCCCGGTCAGCTGGTCTTCAGGTTTACAGTGTTCTGGCACGCACACGTGTGTGCATGTGCATGCACATTCCATTTTGGGAACTCTGTGCTGAAAAGGTTTGGCATAACTGCTCTAGACTTTATTACATTATTCATTTTAACAATGTAAAGTATATTTCACAAACTCCAAATAGTTTAATTGGAAGTTTACTTGCATTTGTCTTTCCAAATGCAAATATAACACAATTCAACATTGTCTGCATTATATTCTCTATCAGTAAATAAAAGTTCTCTCCAAATTACAAATGATTGCTTAAGGTGGGAAAGTTAGCCTCCCACTGATTCCCACAACACACATTTCAAAGAGCCTATGTTTTGTATTACTTTAAAACTGTCTTTAATGGCTGTGTGTGCTTGAATGCTTTCATTAAAGCATGCTTTTTTAAAGAGTTGCAACCAATATTGTCAGTAAAGCCCATTTTACCAAACAGTTAACTCTACTTTCCCAAAATATTACATGGAGCTGGACATCATGTTACTAATGCCAATTAGTAGGGATTACGAAAATCTCATATTAAGACCATTTATTTGAAGACTACATTTCGGAGCTGAAGGAAAATCACTCAAATGCAACCTCTATGTCATTATTAATTTATATGTTACCTGTTTAGTGTTTTCAAATCTTGCTTTCATAAATGGGATTTCGTATTTTAAAAAATAGTTATTTTTCCCCTCTCTGGACCAAAAAGTGATTGGTTAAATATCCACATGAGATTATATTTAATAGGTTAGCTATATGTATAAGAAATTCAGTTTATGATCAATCTATGATATTGGAATATGTTAAGAATTTAGACTATGCTTTCTACGCACTGATAATGTTACCTAGTTTGTAAATGAAATGTCTATCCGAAAATCACCAAGGTCAGAGAATATCATGGAGCCCACCATTCTTTCTTTTACTCAGACCAATAAGAAGAACTTGCAAGAATTGCGTCTCCAATTTCCATTTTCAGGATATTGTTCACTAAACCCTTACCTAGGCCTGATCGGAGGCGACATTCCCCAGTTTCTGTGTCATACTCTTCATGGTCACTTGGACACAGGCACAAGAAGGCTCCTTCTACGTTTTCACAAAGTGCAGTCCCACACACTGCAATCATCAGCTCACATTCATTCACATCTGCAAGAATCATAATACAGTTTATCAATATGCCTGCTAAATTCAATGGTTTTTGGAGTCATCATCTCTGTTTCTCATCTAAGGAGTTAATTTCTGCATTCGGCAAAGTTGCAACTTATATTTCTGACATCTCATAATGCCTGTTTTCTAAAACTTAGAGCTATGTCAGCAACATGTGTTTCCTATATCATGGGATACAACTAATAATTCTGGTGGCTAGGTTGTTAGTACAGAAATATGTTCCATAGGAATAAAACAGATGAAAAAATAGCTTACGTATTAGATATATGAACAGAAAGAAATTATAGGACAGCCAAATATTTAAAGACTGTCAATAAATGATGGCCCATTTTTGTTTTCTATGTCTGAAGAAATAGAACCTAAACCAATGAATTCAAAATGTTAAAGAGGGAACCAAGAAAGCATTAGGAAGACCTATTTTGCTGAGATATCTGGCAATCAGAAAGTGATGGATTCTTATTTGACAAAAACCTTTAAATAGAAGATCTGTGACTTTCTATCAAAGTTGTACTTGCTGATTTCTTGCAATAACAAAGGTTTAGATTTGATGATTTCCAGCTCATCAGAGATAGATTTAAAGAAAGATTCATCTGGGCATTGCATTTTTTCAGTTCTATCCTTACAGTATAAAGCTTCATTCACAAAGAACTTGAGAACTGGGAAGCTGGAACTTCAAATACAATTAACCACACACACACACAAAACCCCCAATGTTATCTTTAAGGGATTTTTCTCAAGATTGTAACCTTGATTAATAAGTTGGAAAGGTGCCTGCATTTTGGATAAGGAGGCATTGTGGATCTATGAAGACTGAAAGACTCTTACCAATGCAATCGTGGCTTGAAGGGGAATTTGTATAGCCACGGTCACACAAGCAATGGAATGACCCAACAGTGTTGTCACAGAAACCATGGCTTCCACACAGGGTCTCATTGGCACATTCATCAATATCTGCATAACAGATAGATCAACAAATCAGTACACAGTCAAATTTTATTTTGTTTCTTCATTTCAGACACATGCTAGCAAGATGACTCATAATGATATTGTTAATTCATATCAAGAGACTGCAGAAATGTGACTGTCATTAATTCATTTTAACATAACTTCAGTATTATCAGAGTGACAATTCAGCGAAAAAGAGAAACTGTGGAGAATTAAGGAACTGAAAGAGGAAGCATTTAGTTATCAGGTGCTGAACTTTGTGCTGTGTGTATACAGAGAGAAATAACAAGAGCAATGTTTCACGTCAATGTGCAATGTTACACGTCAATCAATGTGCATTGATTACTCTTCTGGTTTTGTAATCTAGCCCTTCTTCTGCAGGGCTTTATTTGAGATTCAACCTATATTAACAGAAGTAATATTAATATAGTTATTGTTGATAGATGTATTTATCCTTGGGAGAAACGCATAGTCTTGGATTTAAATTATTGCAATCTTTCTCCCCTTTCTTGATGATACCAGGTCCTGAGACAAACACTTTAGAACTTAGTCTTGCAGAAATATAGGAGTAATATTCTCATTATTATAATGGAATTTATAATATACCTTTCACTTAATTTATCAGTATACTTTCTATGTCACATAAATAAATATTCTCATTGTCCCAAAATTTTTGTCATCCATAGTTTTACAGGAGAGGTTTAATAATATTCCACTCTGAGCTTGTTTTTGCCTTTAGTTGGACTGGGCAATTAAGACAATATCTCAAGTTCTGCTATGCTACTTTTTTATATTGGTCTGCAGAAACATCTAGGAAGGTTACCAGATTTTAACTGATTGTGATTGCCATAAGTTCAATACTGAAAAACATTTATGAATTGTTTTACTACTTCAGATGTAGCTCATTCCCACTTTATTACCTACTTGTGCTAATATCCTATTTTGCTTTTATTTGATTGTGTTATACTGGTATTTTAATCTTTGATTGTAGGCTGTATATTTAGCATATATGGAACTGAGAATAACGCAGGGGTGGAAGTATTTACACTGTCTCCTCCCATATGAATTAGCAGCAATAAACAGGAAAAATGTGTCCATTTCCACCAAGCTGCTTTTCATTCTGGATACTTTCATGCCTACTTCATCTATGGGAGATACACCTGTTTAATAAACTATCTAAGTGGAACAACAAAGCAATATCCATTTTGTTAAAAATAGAGACAATCCCCAAACATTTGAGACTACAGCCAGATAGTCTTTTTATCTCTATAATGTAAAAATGTTTCTCCTTCTTTATAAAATGAAATTCTTCTCTACAGAGAGTTTTCCTTGACTTTTACATCCCTCCCCCCCAGAGTTTTCTCAACAGCACCTACCAATGCATTCACCAAATGGTGTGCGATGGAAGCCGGGAGGACATCCCATAATGCAGTGGAATGAACCCAAGGTATTCTGGCATTGCCATATGCCACAAGCAGTAGCCCCAAATTCTTCACATTCATCCACATCTGTCATCCATGGGAAAGCATTTTCAAAAGAAGGTATCAGAAGGACAAAATTTAATAAAAGACTTGGCAACAATAAATTGTAGGGAAAAAGGGAAACATGAAACATGTCTCAAAGACAAGAAGAACCTGGAAAAAATGCACAAGCCCTGATGGCTAACACACTTAACATTCAAGTATCCTTAAGTAACAATGGGCAACTCTGATGTTTGTGGTCCCAGAGCAACATTGATTGTGCTACTAAAATTGATTAAGTTTTTTTGCATTTGGGGGAGTACAATAAAAAATAAAACGTGGATACAGTGCCCACGAGACCAGTATACCCACCCAGTGTGATAATCTTACATCAGTAGCAATGGCCCCCTATAGCAGCTAGAGTCCATTAAAAAAAGGCTGCTTTGTTACCAAAGCACAATCCTGACCACCACCCCCACCACCCTAAATTGCCTTATTCTGTAGAATAAGTATTGTAATACCAAAGTTTGGCTGAACAAAAACAATAAATAATGAAATAAAATGAACTAAATAAATGATATCATTTCAGGGGAGATAGGCATTCTTAAAAGAACTGCTCTGCAGGACTAGTAATAAAAAAAAACCTTTTATTAGAAGATGGACGGCAGCTATATAGTATGAAGTTACCCAACCTGCACATGTGAATTGAGACCCAATGAACTGCCTGAAGCTGTTATTTTCATTAAGAAGAAATCTTGCATTGACATAATGCAAAGAACCCCTCTCATGTCAATATCAGCTTCAGGGGAGCAGCATTTTCCAGGATCTCAGCATGAAAACAAACTTCCACACCCCCACCAATCACGATCAGCACCATGCCAGCAGCTAACATTTGTGTGGTTTTTTAAAATGTAGATATAAAATACAAAAATGCCTCCCAAAAATTTGTTTAGCTTGATTCTGATCTATAATCTTTTTTTCCTTCAGAGGTCAGCTCTTACCTACACAGTCATCTGTTTCCTGCGAGTGCTGGAAGCCAGTTTGACATAAGCAGCTGTAGGAGCCTTCTGTATTGATGCACCGACCATGCAAACACCGGGAGTAATCAGCACATTCATCCACATCTGCCAAATACAATACAACATATAAGCATAGGGAAAGAAGCCAGACTTTAATGTAAAATAGTATTGAAATGGAACAGCAGAAAGCTAAAATAGGAAAGGTTGAGAATATGTAATGGAGGAATTTGTCTGAGCTGATTCAAATGAATTAATCTGAGCCTAATTTGGAATGGACTAAATTAGCTAATTTGAATTCAGGCTCCCTGGTTTTCCTAAATTTGAATTGCAAATGGAAACAGAATGGGAAAAACCTTATAGCAAGCAGTGGAATAAATTCATAATTGGGAATCATATATACTATCCTTGTTTTCCCTAGTATCTTATACTGTCATTATAGCATCATTCAACCCATTTTGAAGTATGCTGAACCCATCCACATTGCTGTTATTTTGACATAGCAGTGACTGGATGAGTCTTGAAGATGTCATAGGTTATTAGAAAAATATTAAAATATTATTTTTAAATATTAAGTTAGCAAGTGAAAATTACATTTCCCATAGTTTACAAAGAAAGCTTAGCTTGTCTGTGGCAAAAATGAAATCTAAATTGAGAACTTTCCAGAATTTATAAGCCCTGTATTCAACATTGTACCTTGCTTTAGTAATTTTTAGAAATATGGACATGCAAAAGCAGGGACAGAGAGCAGGGTCTGCAGTATCCTGGATTTGTTGAAAGTAATTATTAATATCCTATGACTATCAGTAAGTGTTGTATCTTATGATTCTTGCTTAATATATCTTATTTTTTCTTTATGTACACTGAGAGCATATGCACCAAAGACAAATTCCTTGTGTGTCAAATCACACTTGGCCAATAAAAAATCTATTCTATTCTAATTCAGAGCATACCTGGATGCATATATACTTTTCAGAACATCTCTTAATCAAATACATCTTTTTCTTAGATGACAGTGTGAGTCCTGGAAAAGTCATAGTGACATGAATTCTAATATGCATTCTGAATCATCTTTCCCCCCTCAAATGCTGGGTTGCTGCAGTCTTAAGAGAAAATATAGGGTGGTTGATGTTGAATGGGAAAGCATCTTTTAAGGACCTGGGATCACCCTGAAAAGAAATTGGGGAAGGGAGGAAACCTTCCTTGATTTCTTTCTTTAGCAAGATATGTCCAAGAGAGAAAGGACAGACAAAAGATCACTATAGTTTCTAAGATCTCACCCTGACAGCTGACTCCACCAGCAGCATTTGAGAAGCCAGGAGCACAAATGCAGAAATAAGATCCATGACTGTTTAGGCATTCACCATTGGGACTGCAGATGCCACTGTCCAGACACTCATTCTGATCTATAAGTGGTAAGGATAGTAAAGATAGTTACAAGGAATTCAGTCTGAAAAGCTGCTACAAATTATTCTAATTTAACATTATCACCTACTTAACAAAGTAGGTGATTAACAAAGTATCTTTTCATTCAGAACAAGATTGTCTTATAAATCTTACATTACTCATATCTAAATTATTGATGTGGGATGGATTAAACAGTAAGAGAAGCTGACATTCAAATGAAATCAAATGAAAATACCTTTCTGAGAGTCTCTTTCAGAAATCTATTGTTGGAGAGAGCTCAAAATACACATACATATCCTGAGGCCTAGCAAGTAGTCACTTAAATCAAGAAACAGGGTTCAGCAGCCATATAATTTAATGTAATATGAAAACTGAATCTATAGTATTTTCCCACAAAAATCCATGCCTGTTTTTCTCCTTACTTTTTAATTCTGGCAGCCCAATTTAAATGGGTAGGTGGAAATCCATATGCTGATGTTTAACAAGGTATCAGAACTTCTTGCCAATATATTTAAAAACAGAAAAACATTAACTAAGAAACCCTGGGGTATCATTTGCCTACTCCAATTTAAACATATTAACTGAATTCCAAAAATCATGGGAGAGTAAGAATCAATTAGCTTCAAGTTGCAGACCAAGTAAGGTAATGCTCACTATCAAATGCACAGTATCTGATTCAGTATTCTTTTATTCTATTACATTCAAATATGAAAAAATAAGAAATACAAATATATTAGTCATACATTATTGTTTATACTACCTTTCTATAAAATACAAGTAGTTATCAATAGTAATTGCAACTTTAATCGATTTGATATAGTTTACAATATCACAGAATTAAGAAGAACATAGGACAAAGGCAGCACCCAAATGACAAGATAACAAGAAGAAACCAAATATTGACATGAGAAAAAAGAAACAAGAAGTGGGAAAGGAAAGCAGAAGTTAATATTTAGTTCCAGTTCTTCAATTGCTTGTCAAAAGCATGTGAAAGTAACTAGAATAATCCAGAGTCAACATTGTTCAACCATCCCATGGGCAATGCCTACTCTGGCAGATTCTCCTCTTCCTTTTTGAACAGTTCCATGCAATTTTTTTTCTAAACACTAATGAGGCTGATTTGAACAAAAGCCACATGAAATTCCCAAAATGTCTGCCTCCCCCTGCTCTTGGTTTATGCTAGCTCTGACAATGACCAAATGAATGAAGAATGGGCAAATTCATTGAGATGTGTTACACTGGGCTTACCTTCCAGTGATGTGCAGACAGGTGAGGCACAGCCTCACCGCTCTCATCATGAAAAGAAAAAAAAATGCAAAAGGGAAAAGACAAGTGCTGAGGTGAGGCTAGCTACCTGCTGCCTCACCGTGAATGACTCCCTAACTATTTAAAAAAGCCTCTAAGCACCCTCTACTATGAGGCAAGAGAATTGCATGCCTCCTCTAGTCTGACGTTTTAGGCATTTTATAATTGCTCAAGTAAAGTTAAGCGAGGTTTAAAAGCCTAAAAGGTCCTGAGGTAGGTGAGGCACGCAGTTCTCCTGCCTCATAGTAGAGGGCGCTCATTCTTCCTGTGACTCAACGCTACCCCCCTTCCCTTTTTCTTCCCTTCTCGCTTGTAATACAGTGACAATAAAGGGCGAGCGCAGAGATGTACCTTCATTTCTTCATTGATTTCCCTTTTTACAGGATGAACCAGCTTCTTTCTTCTTTTATTTTCTGGAGGTCTGACTTCTTTCTCCATTTCTGCCATTTTTTATTTTATTTTATTTTTTGTTTGGTGTGTGTGTGTGTGTGTGTGTGTGTGTGTGGTGCACACACGTGTGTGTATGTATCTGGTGGAGATGAAATGGCTGCTGGTATTATTTGGAAAAAAGCTTTCGGGGGAAGGTTGTGTAGAGGAAGGGAGGTAGGACAGGGGTGGCTTTTAGCGCTGATTTGTTTCCCTCTCTTTTCTCTCTCTCTCATTCTCTCCCTTCAGCTCTCTTTCATTTCTCTCTATCTCTCTCTCTTTCTCCCCTTTTCTCTTTCATCTCTTCCTTGCGCATGCAAGTAAAATACTTTTCTGGGCTGGGATCACGGCGGGGGGGGGCAGCCACTCCTTACTGAGAAGTGAATATCTGCTACACTGCGGAGAAGAGTCACACTGTGCAGGAGACTCCCCAGCATTAGACTTAGGTCAGCAAGAGCCACGGTCCCCTTCATGTTGGCTCAGGAAGGAGGGGAATGAGACCGTGGCTCGCGCTGACCTTA